TCTAATTTAAATAAAAACATATATTGAGAAAAATGTGCTAAGATGTACATAGCATAAAATAAAAAGAACAACAAGAGTATCTGCTGCTCTTACCGGGAATCCAGGTTCGAGTTCCCCCACTCACACGGGGTTGTTGATAACCTCCTGTAACTAAGTTCCAAGGAACCTGATGCTGTCTTCTTGCATTTTCAGTCGCTTGAATGCATGTGGTACTTACACATAAACTTAGTCAAAATTATGTGCATAAAGTAAACAGATAAATAATCAGTACATATTTTAAATGTTTTTAGTTCCTTAAGTAGACAATCAGTGGTTTTAACCTGAGTTATTTAATATATAGATTCATGAGTCAGAAAAACAAATATTTGGCAGGTCACATTATTTAAGCTGTGAGGAAAACATGAGATCCCTGCAGCATGTATGTGGTCCCTACAGCATACATCATGTTACTATTTGCATCATATGGTATCCTGTTGGGATGCTATTAAACTATGGCATTTTTTTGTCTACTGGACACACTTGTGAGTTCAGTTATGATAGTTATTTAGTGAATATTTATTGTATGTAGGCCTCGTATCAGAAGCTGGGGATATGCTGAGGACAACAACAAGAACAAGATGCAATTTCATGTTGCTGACAATCATCCTATGAAGTAGGTTTAGTAAAACAAATAAAGAAAACAAACAGAAAACAAGTTTATAAAGTTTAAGTGGTTGCTCAAAGTTAGGTGGCTCTAACATTGTAGTTGAAACTGTAGTGCTGTATTTTTAAAAGCATCCTGACCTGCATGAAAATTAAGAAACCCTAACACAGAGAGAAGGGGCACCCCCACACAAGCGGATACTGCATTTTCCCAAGACTGCCTATGCTTCAACTGTCAGTTAAAGACAACAGAAAATTTATCTTATTCCTTTGCTATCCCTGGTTATTGGCTCATTAATATGTCTGAAGATATGCCAGTATTCCCTCAAAGAGAATTCCCAAGAAGCTCTGCTCTTGCTGTTTATTCACGTTACCTAATGCCAGAAAGATCTCAAATCATCTTTATGGACATATACCCCTTAAAATTTACAGGGAAAGGGAAAATTAGCAATCTTTGTCATACATGTTAAAAAGATTAAAAAGCATTGTTTCAAAGTAAAGGTTTTTTTCACAGATATATACAGATAGCAAAAGTTCTTATGACTTTATGATATGCCCGATCTACTCTCCATTTCTTTTTATATCTTATATTATCAAGGTTATGTATATATGTATGTAGTATGTGTATGATATATTGAAATATTCAAAATATGTGAACTGTCATGAATATTACATGATTCTACAGTAAATTCTGGCCATCTGCAAGTGCCGATGCAAATTGTCGCTCGCAAAGTCCACTGGCTTTCCCCTTTGGCAGAAAAGGCTTGCAAAAGACCCCAGGATCTGTCTTGATTACATCCTCACTCCCCCAAAGATCTCAGACTTAAAGATTTATGTTGTAAAAAATGTGCACTTATGAAAATGGCTTCGTAGAAATAAAATTTCTCTGAAGTTCTGAGTGAGTCAAAAACAAGTTTGATCCAGGACTTTAGTTCTTGTTATATTCTTATAAAGTTTAGATGTTTACTGTTTACTACAGAAGAAACAGCTAGTACATATTTGTTGAAATGATGTTTGGCTATTAGTTGAATTAAGTTGGACCCTCTGATCCTTGACAGGGTGGTTCTAAAGGCCAAGGCACTTGGAGGAGCTAAAGAGGGAAGGCCTCTTGTGTGACTAGATGATTCTTCATGGTACATGGACACCGTGCCTTGCTCCAACCCAGAAGTGTCTGCAAAGCTTACCTCTTCATTTGCAGCTGCTGAGCAGTCTTTGCTTTGTACACACTTATGCTTCCTGGGTCCCTCTTTCCTGGATCTCATTCTTCACAACCTAGATTTCTAGTCTACCCCAGATCTTATCTGGAAGAAGTGAAGTGAATTTGCTGTGTATGGGGTGATATCTGTTCTAAGTGGGAGGCAGTCCTGAGTTTTATCACACTAGCCATCTGGAAGCAGAAATAAGCCATCTGAAGAGATCCACAGAAACAAAGTCACAGAGACCACAGGCCACAGAGTCAGGGCTTTAATATTCTGTCTCTATATTCCCAACCTCCACCTACTTACAGAGCTTTCATCCAGCCAGTACTCGAGTTGGTATGTCTTTTTATTCTTAGAGGCAGGATAGTTGAGGCTTATGGGAGTGAGAAGATGGGGTGGAACTTTGATCTCCTGTTTCTAGAGGTCAGCATCAAGTACACAAAGCCGACTTTTATCCCAGTTCTTAGGAAATTTATATCTATCTCGGGAGTTAACATACACTAGATAGTGAGAAACGAGGACTAAACTGCATAGAGCAGATTCCAGAGGGATCCAAATTAAGGGATACAGTAGTTTAGACTTGTTTCAAAGGTCTTTTACAATATATGATAAGTGGGGTGCCAAAGGGTAAAAGAATTCAGAAAGAGGCTGTGAACAGAGATTCTGAGTATTGTAATGGCCAGTGGACCTGTGTCACATAGTAAAATAGAATGGTGAAGTGACAAATCTCAGGACCTAGGAAGGAGTTAGATCTTCGGAATCCATGTTATTTGCTTATTGCGTATGGGTCCATGTGTTCCCGTGTGTGCATATTTGTGTGAGGATGTGCACACAAGGATATGCATGCAGTAGTTGGAGGGCAGCCTCAGATGTTGGTCTTTAAGCTCTTCCTACTACTTTGGTTTGAGACAAGGTCTGTCACTGCCTTGGATCTTCACCAGGTCAGTCAGGGTAGCTGTTTTCTGAACTCCCCCATCTCTGTGACTGCAGGCACTACTATGGTTGAACTTATATGTGGGTTCTAGGAATCCACAATGAGGCCTTCATGCTTGGGAGGAAAGTGCTTTACCAACTGATCTATCTGTCAGGGCTAGAGTAGTATTTATTATAAAAATAAAGTCAATGCTAGCTTCGTTACTACTTTATGGAGTGAAGTCAGAATAAAATGTTAAGTGATGAATAAATGCATCTATATATTCATATTATAAAGACAGTATAATTTATCTAGGCTGGGCATAGGTTTCCATGTGTGGGAGGAAGCCAAAGTTAGGTGCGTCATGGCATGGGAACCTGCCTCACTATGCCTGGCAGAAGTCCAACCTCAGTGCCCAAGAGAATGTGACAATTTTAGAATTTATTCAGAGATTGGTTTCTGAGGGGGTTCAGTTTATCAGGAGGTTGGCCTACTAGGCTGTAGGTAGCAGGGGATGCAGAGTCAGAGTCAGAAGTGGCGATATCATTGTAGTGGGATACCTAATACAACAGTGGGGAAGAAAACCAGAAACAATGAAGCAACACACACTCAGAAGAATTCTATAGCTTTGCTTACAGCAATCTGAGATTGCTTCTCTCTGGCCTGCAGTTATGGTGAAGGCTTGATGGTTGCAGCAGTACTGGCCCTTTTAAGTGGATGCTCCAGGGACTCAACTTATAGCCACAGAGGGGTAGGACCACTTGGCAGGGTGAAGATGATGACAGAGGTCACCTAGGCTAAGTCAGGAGGTTGTCACACACCAGGCTTATGAGTATAGGGCCTGAGCAAGGAGAGAAGAGCTTCAGAGAAATGGAGTTTGAAATAAAAGACACTTCAGATTAAGAAGCTGATATGTTTTGATGATAGGTTTCATACAACAGACAAAAGGTGGTAGAACCCCAAATAATTCCAGGTGGATTTTTCAATTCTCCAGTCAGATGGCCCTGCTACTCTGGAGCTGAAGAGCACTCACTTTATACATGAATCATGAGGAACTCTGATCCACAACTTTCTTTGTAATTCTTGCTTTTGATAGAGTTTAGATGTTTTTGCAAACATAAGTTCTCTGGTCTATTTGTAAAGATCCAGATAAGGCAAATTAGTGAATAGAATCCCATTAAAGCTTAGCTTACTTGTGACTTCTAGGACTTTTATCCCAGAGGGATAGTTCAGAGAGCACAGGGATACAGAGAAATGTTGCTGTGAAGAGCATCTTTTTAAAATTATAGTTCTTTATGTGTTAGTTTCTGATTTTTCCTGGGATTTATGTGTGTGTGAACACATGTATCTCTGAGGCTATGTGTGTTCCTTTGTTTGCTTTGCCCTATTCCAGTGTTTCTTTTCTTTTCTTTTTTGGATACATGCCTGTTTTCTAAGAAGAGAGAGGGAAAAAAGGTGTGGATTGGGATGGGGAGGGAGGTGTGGAGGATCTGGGAGGAGTTGGGAGAGGGAAGACTATAATCAGAATATATTGTATGAAAAAATCTATTTCCAATAAAAGAAAAAATAGAAATAAAGAATTAGATATCTATTTTTCTTAGCCCAAGATGCTGGTGTGTGTGTGTGTGTGTGTGTGTGTGTGTGTGTGTGTGTATGTGTGTGTGTGTGTGTGTGTGTGTGAACAGGCATGACTGAAAACCCTCTCTGGGACCCTGCTGACACCTGCCATGTGGCTTTCATGAGACCTTTCTTGGTGCAGCTGACAATGGATATTAGACCTGGCATCTTGCTTGCCTGATTGGTTAGAACTTTGGTGAGCATGTGCTCCTGCCTAGTGATGGCTTTAACACTGGCTTTTCTGCTGGTGGCACTTGTGAGTTCTGGGCCATCTACATGGCACAGATGATGGGTTGCCAGCAGGGCCTTTTCTACTTGTGAAGGGTTAGGGCATGAGAGTTCAAGAGGAAATATACAATATGGAATGCCTATCTGTTATGGAATGTTTAGGAAGTGGGATTTCTGGCTTTATTAAGCTTGAATCTGCACCTGGGGTTGGGATGGAATTCAAAGTTATTGTTTAAAGTAGGAAAAAATTTAAACCATATTACCACCATAGGTGATTCTCATTATGTTTTGAAATGCTGAGCTACATTCATTTTAATGATCAGCAAAGGCCAACTTTGGTACTTCTGATCATTCTTCTCAGCAAGAAATGGATAAATAATAGGTTCCTATTTTGTTCACAGATGTCCTGCCTCCTGGACTGGGTCAGACAGCCACAGAATACAGGCTTCAAACCGCTTTTCACACCATTCTGGTTGGAAATGGAACCATTGGAGGCTCATCATGTTACCTTCAGCAAGCATGGAAACAAATGAAGACACTGAGAATGTCAGTGGTCAGCCTTTCATTTAAATCTTTGTAAAGGAAGTCTCTCGGTCAGTGTAACTCACTTGTGTGAAATCAACCATCCCCATCTCACTGCTCCTTAATCAAGGAAACCACCCAATTTGTGTGGACTGAAACACGCATTGCCTTTCAAGTTAATCGAGTGCTTACTGCGCGTGACTCACTGTAAAAAGATGGGAGAGAAGATGAGGAGATAAATCAGGAGCAGGGCCTGCCTTCAGGGAAGCTACAATTAGTTTCAGGATGCATATTTCTTTCTTCTGCTCATAGTTAAAATTTTCTCTCATACAAGAAACAAATGAATGGGAAAACATATTCTGCAAATATTTTAAGCTTCATTAATGAGAAACAAAATAGAACAACAGCAGCAAAGCCATCTGGGAAATTCAAGACATTTTAATCCTTTATTGTTTTATTTTATTACCTTGCAGTGCTAAAATGTAATCTATTTTATTTATTCCATAAATGCATGGTAAACTTTAGAGACACAATGCTTTGAGTTAATTTGAATTCAATTCTACTTTTGTCCTATGCATGTAAGTTGTCTGTTGGAAAACCCATATTGTTTATATAATTCTTGGGAGGTAGGATGCTGAGTCACACTTGTTGTATCTACAGGCGTCTACCTTCTGTGACCTCAAGACCACCATTCTGAGTGAGATACTTGTGAGGAGAAGAGAAAGATCTAGATAAAATTTGGGGGTTGGGACTCACAGACACAAGACCAGACAGAAAGCAACAAAACATCTGGCAAAGGGATCTTGGAAATCTGGCTGAGCAATTTTTAAAAGTATTCATCTGTTGTCTCCCATAGCTTCAATGGCTAAACAGTTTCCCTAAAGATTCCTATCAGACTTGAGAATAAGTCATTACTTTTCCAGTGTTAAGATGCTGATATTACTAGAGACACCAGGCATTTTATGTCATGTCTGTGACCTATTTCTATATGGATGAGCCTCGTTGTCTTGAGTAGTGTCCATGTAATTGAAAATGTGACAATTCTTTTAAAACGTCATCAACAGACTTCCTAATTAAGCTGCCAATACAAACTGTCAATAACACTGTGTGCTGTTTGACAAATGAGTAGTGTTGCTTGAACCTTATTAAATAAATAGTGCTGGCCCCTCTTTGAAGAGTTTCATGCATTCGTGTGTAGCACTTATTAAGTAACTTGGCAAAATTCTCATGCCTTTTCTTTTCTTTTAGTTTTAAAACATTATTACTTTATTCTTAAGTAAGGAACAGATCTACTTTAACCATTATCTTCAGTTCTAGGACTGATCCTTAATAGGATGGATTGTCTCACTGCCAAAGTCCTGGTCATGAGGCACTCTTAGTTATCGCCTCGTGTTATGTCAAACTGTGCGTGTTTATTACCTGCTGTTAGAGATCCCTTTAGACAGTTCATCTCTGCATTACAAATTTCTACTTAGTGAAAACTATGTCTGTATTCAGTAAACATGTATGATCATGGGATGTAAAGTATACTTTCTACTATAGCTCTTTTAAGGACATATTAAAGACAGGGAGACAGGCCTAGCACAACAGCACGTTTATTGATTTGTATTTTATGGTCAACATACTGAGAAAAGCCTAAATAAAGCAAATATTTTTTTATGTAGCCTAGTCCCCTGGACCTTATCAACAGTGTTCAGCTTGGCTGTTTATATTAACGTTCACTGTCTTCTGCCACTGGACCTCAGCATTCTTCCAAGGGGATGCTCCCCTTCTCCTCCTTTGACTTGCCTGTTACTAGGACAGTAACCACGTCATTTGTCAGGAGCACATGGGGAACAAGTTCTTTGTGCCAATCCTCTCAGAGCATCGACGAGCAGTGAACATCATCCACTGGAGAAGGAAGGTATGGGAGACACACCCAGAGCTACACTCCAAAGCCTGGTCTATACCGCCCCCACCCTCTGTTCTTCAGCTACCTCTCAGAAAGAATTACTAATGCCGTGTGTGTGTGTGTGTGTGTGTGTGTGTGTGTGTGTGTGTGTGTGTGTGTGTGTGTGTGGAGTCAAATCAAATTTGCATGAAGTCCAGACTCATTGCATTTAATATTTCTGAACAACACTCTCTCTAACAGATAAAATCCCATGCAATTACTGTTGCTTTGAGACTGGGGGAAGTGCAGAACAGTTGGGAGAAATTGAAGAACAAACCAATTTGAGTTAAACCTTTAGCCTTCACCTCATGATACATTTTTTTAAACTTTCTTTTTTTAAACACAGTCTGACACCATGTGATAAATCAAAGCCTGATGTAATTGACCCAGAATTGATCCCAAAATGTCTTTTGGGGGAACATGCTTTAACTCTATTTGTTGATTCTGGGGAATAATTGCCACCCTAGAAAGGTAATTACATATGCCATTGTTTATACACATAATAGGCTCAGGGTACATGTTCCGCGCTGAAGGGAAGGGAATTTCACTTGCACGCCGTGTATCCTGTCAGAACATCCCAAACAGCATTTGAACTGCCCAGTGTTTGCCAGTTTCTGTGCACACGTGTGAGAGAGAAGGGAGGGTTGGGCATTAAGAAGGTGATAAGCCACTAAAGACTATAAAGTCAAAACAGTTCCTTTACTATTTCATTTACCATAACGTCTCCACATCTGATTCACTTAGCTGGTCGGATAAAAAGACTCTCTGCGTGTGGCTTATGCTTATTAATGAATTCTCATAATTCTTTCTCCCAAGGGCTGTTCACCCTGTGGAAGTACATATAGTGAGAATCCTTCCCTACAGCATCCTCTAAATGCCCTGGCCTGTCAGTGTCTTTAGGTAAAACAAGCAGACGGATTTGATAGTGGCTAATGCTTGTCCTCCTGCTGTACTTTCTGCTAAATACAAGTGGAATATGAGCCCCAAATGACCAATTAAAACACGTCATGCATTTTTCCATTGACCATAAGACATTAGTTATCCTAAGTAAATACAGCTAAAAGATATTCTGTGATAGTCTGACCCTACCTTGTTGCAACCCTGTTCTTTTTAAAAACCAAAGCCCCCAAAAGCAGAATTCCATGACTTTCTGTAGTGCCATACAGCAAAAGAAATACATATGTATTCCAGTGTGGGAATGAGCATTGTTGGAGCCGAAGTAATTCATCCTAGGCTATTCTTTGCCACAGCGTCCAGCAAATTGCATGACCTGCTTGTTAGGCTTGACAACAGTGTTTTACTCAACAAAGGCCTCTGCAGTGCCGAGCAGCAATGGAATGTCAGAATGAGCACATTTCACACACAGATGTGCAGCCATAATAGCCTGTAAGAAGAAGCATGCGGCAGGCAGCGAATGGTGGGGGCCAGGGCCGGGGCTGGCATGCCATGGTGTGTGAGTGTGTAGGCTGGGGGCTGGCTGGAGGGGGAGGCCAACACTTAGCAGCAGGAACATGGCCCTGCTGACCACATTTAATCAGCCCTCTGTAAACAATTCAACATTTTCATTGTTCTCTAAAAACTAATAAAGAGAAACAAGCACTTTTCATTCATCTTGAAGTAATTTTCTGTCAGGTCGGAGTCCCCTGTGGCTTCCAGCTTGTGCAGTGCTAGCTGTGTGATACAACAACTATTGCAATTTATTTTACAAACTCTGGTCATTCACATGTCAGTTAGTGTTCACCGAGCGGCATCTGAGGCTGTGCAGTTAACGAGTTTTACAACATTTCTATCAAGAGAAACTGTTTAGCATAACTGACTCTTAAGGAGTTATTATACCTCTAAAAATCCATTTTAAGGGGCATTATTTAAATAAAATAGAAAAACGGTTCACTGCCTTTTAAAGGGGCTACAAAAAAAGTCCATCAGCTCTGCACAGTAATCCCCAGCTTAAAGCGCTCTCGAGAGCACTTCTGGGAATTGTCAGCATAATGAAATGTTTTGTGAAATGTCCAGATAGATTCCTCTCCTCAACAATTTTACTGCACCATATTTATTTTCTATCCAGTTTTTAAAGAAGTGAATTGCTTTTTGAGAGGATGACTCTATGTTGTGTAGATTAACTGAGCATGTTACTACCAAGGTGCTAGCAGAAGCGGTGGTTCTGTTTACGGTGCCATCTCTCTGCTGACTGTGCGTGGAGGCATGCGTAGAAAGCCAACCCCTTTCTTGGTGCTCTGGCTCCAAAGGGTTAAACCACAATGATGTGTGGGCTTTTATGTTTTCCTTATGGTATGTTCTCCTCAAACATTTGAACAATTTTGTCACAAATGGCATCTATGAGTATTTTCTTATATTAAAAAATGAACTCTTTTCTTATTCCTAATAATCAAATTCAGGAAAGCAATACACATGCACATGAAAAAATAATAATAATATAGATCCTTTAAGTCTAGCCCATGTCAATAGGATTTGCTGTTGGACATTTTATTTCATTGAAGAATAGATTCCTCACATTCACTCTGATGGCCAATGACTCCAAACCAATTAATGGCTGGAGTTTATGATGGCGGTAGTGCATAGCACGGAACTGAGTTCATTTGACACACTCTGTTAGTTAACAGGACAGAAGCTTCTATCTGTAACGTAGATAGCTTGATCTTTCTAGGATGAGCAAGTCAACAAGGAAAAAATGGGTTCTCCTCTAATAAGAGATATTCCATGTCTTTAGGAGCTATCTTTAGAACACCACACAATTTTATTTGACTACAAATGGCCCTTTAATTTGTTAGAGCCAATGTCTGTGCATGTGACCTTAATTTTCTGAAGGGCTTGGGTAGGTGTTCTTATGTCCATTAGCTGTATCTATCCATAATAAGTATAAGAAGTATGGCAACAGCCATGGAGAAACACAGTTTGGTATAACTCATACCTTTATCACCTCCCACAGACACTATTTCATTCTGGCACATTTATTTTCCGCATGATACTGTCATTCTGAGAAACTTTACTTTCTGAAGTTCAAATGTTGAAGAATGAATTTTTAAAATTCCCTAAGTGCCTTAGATTTGAGGCAAATTTAACTTATTCCAATAGAAACTCTTTTACCTTTTATTTCTAATATTTAGTGGCACACCAGACAATGTTCAGATATTGTGTTATGATCAATTCTGAAAATCTTCATCACCTCTTTACCAAAGGTCTTATCCCTTTTCTGTTTCTAATTTTACACAAAATTTAGTGAGCATACTATGTCATACTTTGTGCTATTTGGTTCTCTACTGATAACATGTTAGGTGTGGTTGAAAAACGGTTTTTTAATAATTTGAATTTGAGTCTGTTTTGTGCAGTATTTAGAACTTTCTTCTTTTTCCAATACACAAAATTACTTTGGCAGAGAGAATGTGTTAGTGCCCTATTGCTGCTGTAACAAATCACCTCAAATTTAGTGACTTCAGCAACACAGATTTCTGTCTTATAGGTCAGAAGTCAGAGGCCCACATGGTTGTTATAACGGTTGCATTCCTCTCGAAGTCCTCTAGGAAAGACTAGTCTCTTTAGGCCCCATCTTCTAGAGGCCAGCTGCCTTCCTTTGCTTGTGGTATTTTCCTACATGATCAAAATCAACAGCAGTGCATATTGATCTCAGGTAGCCATCTATCTCAGTCTTTCTTAGCCTTTCTTATTACATTAGTCAAGCTAGAAAATAGTCTTGATTTTAAGAACTTGTGTGATTAAACTGAGACAACAAGGAAAACCCATATTCCTCTCCCTAGTCCAAGGTCCATACCTTGAGTGATGTCTGCAAAGTTCATGCTCTCATGCAAGATATGTTCAGAGGATGTTTAGATCTGTGCGTCTTTGGAGAGCCAAGGGTGAGCTCACCACAAAGTCTTTGAGGGTGTTTCTGTACACTATTGTTGGAGAGGCCAACAGCACCTCTGTTCCCAGTGCTCTCTATGGTTTTAAAGTCATGCCTTGAGTGATATGGCCATTTTGTAACAAAACAGAATGAGGCTGTTTATCATCGAGCTCACAAACTTGACTAAGTTACATGTGTGGAATAAGACTCTGTTGTATCAACATGACTTCTGCCAGTGGACTTGGAACCCTGAAAAACCCACATCCTGTGAGCACATTGTTCACCAGCAACATGATCCATGTGGAGCTGAGCCCAGAGAAAGGGTGATCCTGTTCAATTCACTTTCAGTCATAATATTCAGCTTGTTCAAAGAGCATCTG